GCCTTGTTCACAGCAGACTGACAGGTCCAGTATCCAACATTAAGGGAGATGAAGGCAGAAGTAGCAGGAACACTGCAGAGGTTATGAGGGTTGCATGTCCCCCTCAGACAAGCAATGGGAGAGGAAGACATGCTACCTAAGTGGGTGAAAACATCATCTTGTGTCCTCGCTCAGTGGACTTGTGCAGGTAGACTTGCTGGTCTTTATACAAGAAGGATCTTCACACAACAGGTGCTTCTCACAGGGCCGATGCCTACAGTGATGCCTGAGCACAGCTGATGTATTGATGATGCACCTTGCTAAGTGCTCACAGCTGAGGGCAACAGTTTCAATTAACAAAATAAAAGGCCGACAGCAGGGCCTTGGAGCACCAGAAACCAAACGCAAATTCACTGAAAGATGCTCCTGAATCCCAAACTTCTGAATTCCTCCACTTACTAATCACCACACAGAATGTGAAACATTTTACCATCATTTTCTCTTTTATTGAGGTGTAATAAACATAATAAACAATAACAATTGTGATTTACTAGCAGGTTAATTATATAAATCAATGGGCACATGAGATTGGAAAAGTAATTTTATTTAAACAATTGTACATCATGGTGACTGATGGCTGATACCAAAAGCTTTCGGGTCATGCTATTTACCTCTGTCTGCAGTACGTCTGACTAAGAATCTAGAAAACAATCTCCTTTTACGCTGGAATAGTAAAGAATAGAGAATGTTTCTGGGAAATGTGCACACGCTGAATGTTCTTGAGGTGTGCTCTGTTATTTACCCAGTTGTGCTGTGATATTAATGTACCTGTCAGATGCACACATTGATATGCCAGAGGATGTTCTTCAAAGTCTTCAAACAAGTTTCCGTTATCAGGGAAGATGACCTTTTTTTTCATTCCCATACAACTAATATTTGTCTGGGAAATATAACATGAGCTGAACATGTTTTAATTGGACATTGTAATAAATAAGTACATAAATAAAGGGTCCTACTGTAGCTGGCATGATTTAGTTTCCATGGTTATTCACACCACTGTTTATAATGGTTGATCACAGCTGTCGAACTGACCCTTGTTATTAGTATTATAACAACGTACTGTTGGATTGAAGGATATTGGTAAATGTTGTTGGTGCTTTGGCTACGTGCACCGAGTATTTGGGGAAGGAAGATTCATAGCTGTGAGGTCACCAGTTTAGCAGAGTGATGGAATGGTGGACTGCTGCAGTTCATGTAAAATGATAAGTGGTCAGTGACTGCTGCAGTTTATGTAAAATGATAAGTGGACAGTGACGGCTGCAGTTCATGTAAAATAAGTGGACAGTGACTGCTGCAGTTCATGTAAAATGATAAGTGGTCAGTGACTCCTTTCCGGAGAAGCTGAGTGGAATAAAGCCATGCAGACATGAAGGTCAGTTTTGGTGTTTTCTGTACATTGAATGTGTGAGCATTAGGTTTCAAATCTGGTACATTTTCTGCTCGC